TTAAAAAGATTCTCAATCTGAAGAGATAAATTGCTACAGAGGATATTAGCATCAGCAAGGACATAGACTCAGATATGGTGGTTCAAAATGGCAAAACGACTGCAACAACAGGTGTGTGCTACCAATTGTTCATTTCACGCATTAGCCATAAAGTAGACATGTTGAGCAGAACAAGCTGTATTTTGATTCAAGTTATTTCTCAGTAAATTCACGAGGAACAGTTTGAAATGAATCTCATTGGACTTTGGCCGACCTTTAAAAGTGCATTTACGTCCCTGACATTATCCCGCAGTACAAAATTCCCCTTGATATACACGTTTTTTAAATGAGTAGAAAAATTAAATAAAGTGCTCCCAGTTATTGAGTGTGGGCCAATAATGCAGTGGCATTTCACACTTGAGATATTTTCTCATACAGTTAGTGCAGACACCATGAAATAGCCTATAAAAGGTGTTGTCAAAACACGCACTGCGTCCCGCTCCAAAAACCTGCACGCAGTGCTGTTGAACTGCTGCTGCGGTAGCGGTAGCCATGTCCAATGACAGCTCGACCTGAGGTGTTGGCAAAAGCCTTGCTCTTTGGACTGCCCTTCCTCTCCCCTTTATCTCCTTTTCCCCTCTGCTCTATGAAATGCTGCCCTCCTCCCATTTCCTCAACCTTTCCTCCATATCTACTCCTTAACATATACAGTTCCTCAACCCTTCTGCTTCTCTCCTGCTGATTCCTGTGATTCAGTGGTTCATTATTGTCTTCACACCTCCTCCTCCTCCATGCCTTTTTTCTTATCCTCCCTCTTTCCCCTTGCAATCCACTCTCCTCCTCTCCATCACTCAGAGGAACAGCGGAGCTCTTCATCAAGCAGACGTCAGGCATCTGTCAACAGTCCAGGCCAGTCTCGGCGCGATTGATTTTTGGCCCACCTGCGTCTTTCGTAATGACCAACTGTCAGTTATTTTAGTGCCCGCACTGCCTCCCCTCTGTATCTCCCGTCACCGCAGCATCCAGAGGCTAAATCTCCCAGCTCAGACCTGCAGTGCATTATCTAGCTTGTCTTCAGACAAGATTTATGTAGGTATACCAAAGATCCCCCGCTTGTCCTCTTTCTAATCCCGGAGGACAATGCTATCACGATGTTTATTTCAAAGAAACAAATCGTTTACATTCTGACGGCAAACACGATATCTCTTTTATGCTTAAAGTTTCCAATTATTCCCAGGCAATGACTTTTCTGACAGAAGCTAATAAATGTATGTTTGGGCCTGCAAGCACAACGCTGGGTTTTGATTTGGTCCAGTAACGGCTTGTAAAACAGTTTGGAAGCTGAGGCAGCAGACGATTTTGACAAGAATAAAATGGTAACTGGAGAACTGCCACGTAGTGGAGCACAAGCAAGACCCATCTCCTGTGTGGCAAGCCAATACCATTTCAATTGGGGAATCAGCACATCCTATCGATTAGTTTGAGGAGAAGGAATTTGTCATGTCCATGTGTCATGTCCATGTGTTATTTCCATGTGTCGAGATAACATGTTTTTCCTCAAGATCAAACTTCTCTTTCACAGAGACAACAAATGTTACTTGCTCTGCTCTTTGATCCATATGTTTCAGCATGAGGGAGAGCAGCTTGCTTACATTGTAGCAAACTGATAAAAACAAATCCAGAATAAATATGTTCGGACATCAGCGCAGACTTGATCGGGCGCTGAAGCCAAACAAGCCATTTAAATTTTCACCTTGAGGGATGAAGTTCAGTGGATTTTGTTGAAGGCACAAGATGTTACTTCTTCAACTGAAGCCAGACCTCAGTGTGAATCCGAGACGTCAGGTGATGAAAACATGTTAGGAATGATTTCAAAAACCTGTTCATGTCCCGTGGCGATGCCCAGACTGAGTACGGATGTATGAGAGGAGCTTCAAACTGGAAGCCGAGTAAAAAGCAGGGCCACGTCGCTTCCCCTAGCTGCACTCACCTGAGCTTCTTTGATCATCTACAGAGACCAGGTGCCACTTCCGGATCTGATGTAAGGCATATTTTCAAGATCTCACTCTCTCTTTCTCTACGTTTGTGTCTGGTAATCTTTCCTTCACTCTTTTGCCCTTCTTTCCCTCTCCTTCCCTTGCCCTCTTTCTCTCCATCTGCCTGGCAGGGACAACTGAGTGCCCATGGAGAGCAGGGATGCAGCAGAAGGCATCTTTGAACGAGAGCTTTGGCTGCAAACCTTTCATCTAGTGCAGTACCTGGCCAAGGCAGGCTGCAGGGTACCTCGGCTGTCAGAAGGCACAGCAGCAGAGGAGGGAGGAGGGATGAGACAAGCGGAGAGGAAGGGAAATGAAATGAAAAAAAACTTGCCTCTATGTTATTAATGATCTATTTATGCTTTTGCCAGGCTCATAAAAGAGGGCATAAATGAAGATGAGTGAGAAACTGACATCAGAGGAAAAAGATGGAGAGCAGAGAAGGGGGAAGTCAAAGTGGAGCAGAAAGATGAGAGACAGAGAGACCCTTGTGGCTCATAGAGGAGAACCAATTTACAAGGGTACTGCTAACACAGCTAGTTGGGACTCCTGCTTTCACCTAAAATATGTCCAAGACAGAATGGGTCGATCATTGGAAGTACCTAAGTTTACATAAAAAGTTGCATTCCTGCTATATTTACCACTTAGCATAGAGGAACAACACAGGGAAAAAAGAGTGGGTCATAGACTGATTATTAAAAGGGCATGGTTTTATGATTGAGCAATTTAAAAAATTTGAATGGGCTGTATCGTAAAGCATGGGAGTGCACTGAAATGATTGCGGTTCATTCAAATCCTATACTAAGTGCAGCATGCAACATCACAACTTTGGCAGCGTGACTGTGTGCATTATCCCAGAATGCACTGCTTGGCCTTTTGCATTTGCTGCAGAGTGTTCCTCCTTGACAGGCAAAGACTGAGCACTCGGAGAGTGTGTGATGTTCCTCGACAAAGAGAGGGCAGAGAGTAAATGTGTGTGTGTGTGTGTGTGTGTGTGTGTGTGTGTGTGTGTGTGTGTGTGTGTGTGTGTATTTGAGTGCTTGTGTGCGTAAAATCCTTCAGAAACCTCTCCAAAAAAAACAAACAGGCTGCATGCTCCTTTTGGTAAGGCACATAATAACTCAAAAGCCTCCCATTGACAGCCGTTGTCTATAGCCGTGAAGGACTGTGAGTTTGACAAATGGATTCTCTCATAGCTGTTTACCAGCGTATAGGTTCTGCATGGGAAAGTCAGGGAGGAATAATGCGAGGCAGGTCTGTCCTTAGTCCTAAATGACACATCTGGGAGCACAGACAAGGATCATTACCAAGTCAGACCGTGTTGACAAAATGTTGTTCACATCAAGACATGGCCAGCCCTCTCAATTGTCTGTATCACACAACAGAAAATGGAAATTCATCTTTTAAGTCAGCAGGTACTTAAAGTGTAATCTGTTCTTGAGAGGCCATCATTAAAATCAAACAATGCTCGCCAATAGGCCGAAGCCTGGCTTCAATGACTTTTAAATGAGCCTCGATCTAGCCTTTTCCATATTCCTTTTCTCTCTCTCTGTCCCTCCTCCCTTCTTTATCAAAGACAACCTTGATCAAGTTCATAGTAGACGTAAATGCTTCACATCAAAGACAAACAGTGTAACCATGGGAACTAAACCCCTTTGCTCACAAGAAAAATAGATTGTTCTTTAGTCTGTAGTCGTCCAATAAGCCTTGCAAGCCCAAGTGTGACAACCACTAAATATAAAGTATATCACTGAGAATAAATGATGCATGACTTCATTTACTTCATGTCTATTAAGGGATCCCCTACGATGGGTTGAGATAAAACACTCATGCCACCTGGAAAGCTATAGCTGCATCTGTAAGCTTCATCTGCAAGCTGCATCATCCTAATACAGTTATTCTCTATAATAACAATGTTTTAACTTATTTTTGCAAAAACAGATATCAAAAAATTCAAAATAAATATACGTGACGTTTATATATATATATATATATATATAAATGTCACTAAGGTAAAGTCAAGCTTTCACAGCTATGCTAAGTCCAATCCATTTCAAGCTATTCATTACCATCACAGACACGTAAATAACTTCAACAACAATTGTTTTTGTGAGAGAAATGCACACCCACTCAACCTGTGTATAATAAAGTGAAAAAGCTTTTTCCACACAGACACAGATAGCTTCGAGAGCGCGGCACTCATCCGCTGGAGGAGGTTATGTGTTGTAAGCTCTTGTCAGGAGGATATGCACCGGGTAAAAGCCAGTCGAGCGGTCTTAAAAGACAAGAGGCTGAGTCGGGGGGGCTGAGGAGGCCCCGGACTCCAGCTATACAGTCCAACAAGTGCATTATGTTTCCACTCAGCGGGGGGGCCGAGGCGGCTGCCGGGCTCCATGCGAGGCAAGGTGGCAGCTTAACAAAGCAAACCCCTTCAGACATGAATGAATGTATCCACTGCTAATCCAGTCTTTTAAGTCAGTGTGGCTCTCAGTAGGTTTCGGTGCATCACATGTACATTGAGCCTTTGAATCCTAATCATGACCTTGGTTATATCCTCCCTCCTCTTTCATCCCTTCCATATTCTACCTCAACTCCCCCACTATGTTATCATCATTTTACACTTCATTTATACTTCTACTAATATGATGTAAAAAGAGGATAAATCTCGAGCTGAAAAGAGCATCTAATCTTATGGAAACAAAAAATGTGCCCTCTCATACTGTAAAGCATACAAATTAGGTTGAGGCAGCGCTTCTTCAACACACACACACACACACACACACACAAAATAGAAGAGTAAGCATGGGCATAAATTAATAAATTGGGGTTGGTCCACAGACTCCTACCACTCGGCTGGAATGGTAGTTAGGTGCTGACAGGGATGCAAGTTGGGGTTGGAGAGGCAGAATCATGGGGAAGGATCCTGCAGAGTGGAGTTAAAAATAGAGCATGAAGTGGAGGAAGAGGAGGGGGGAGGGAACGTACCTGTGGGCTCGGAGGCAGCCTAGTTAGCAATGAGCAGCACCACTGTGGACGACGCTGGGCTGGAGAGGGAGAGATGGTGAGACAGAGATGCGGAGAGGGAGGGATAGAAGGGGAAGGGTTGGGGGGGGATAATGAGAAAACAAGTCAGATTAGCATGAAACCACATGTTCGAGTTCAAAACAGACAATTATTTCACAGTAGGCTGCGGATGGCAGCAATGACAAGCAATAGTCTGTGACAGACCCACATGCTGAACTCATGTCTCCCAAACACACACACACTGGGTGTTCTATAGGTGCTCGAGGTGGAGATTTCATAAGTAATTCTTCTGGTAAAAAAAACAATGTAAAGACAATGCGGTCATATGGAACACATTATGTCACGTCATGTTGCCTACTATCTAAGAACTAGTCATTCAGAAATAAGGTAGCCCTCCTACTCCTCACAGCCAATCGCTTCCTTTTCGACACATTATTTTCATATTATAATTTCATATAGTGAAAATAAATCAGATTTGTTTTAAGCCAAGAGGGACAACATAATCTTTCAAAATACCCTCCATTTCCAAAAAATGAAAAGGAAGTCCTGCACACACATTCAAAAAAACAAAAAACAAAAAAACAATGTATTTACAACCTTGAAGAGATTTGATCACTACTTCCGGCGTATTACACTTCATAGAATGCCTCAGATTGTATATTACTAACAACAGGAATTCAAGTGAGATCTGGCCTCAGAGAGGCGACAGTTAAATATTTACACCAGTAGGCAGCTAAACAAAGGCAACAGCATGCAGTCAACACAGAAGAAGTCCCACCATGAACAATCAGGGCTTTGTTTACTTGAGGGCCAGCCAGGTGCGGTGCTACTTTTTTGTCAGCATGAAATATTCGGAGAATACAGGACTCATAACCCATCGTGTCGGTCCTAATAAGCAATTGTTCCCAACCTGTTCAGGAGGGAATCTAGTGAGCGGAGAAGACTTTGCAAAACAGACTGTGTTGAGCAGCTGTGTAGAAAATGCCTCCAGATTCTGAATACTGGGGATTTTGTACTATTCGGTAAAACACTAAGACAGTGTTGTTGTGTTTGATATTTTTGATGTTCCTGCATATCAACTATTTGGTTGCTTTGACATTTCTTGGACCATGTGGAATGTTTTACGTGAATACAGATGAAAACACAGAGGAAAAATGATATTTGTGTAATCACTTCGTTCATTGTTTATAAAATCACTCCGTAAGCATTCATTCATTTTCAATACAGCTCATTATTTGGCACATTAACTAATTCACATGAGTTGTGCAAACAAAACCACGATTAATTACGAACAACATCGCTGCTTGCTGCCAATCTCTCCTCCTGTCATCCACCGTCTCTTAATCATTGATGTGCATCGATGTGCCACGAGGAACCATTATGATTGCCCAATAAGAGACAATAAGAAGAGAACAGGCCTGTCAATGGATGACAAAGTGGTGCAACAAGTTTTCATCTCCTCTGAATGCCAAGTAAGTAAGTAAGTAGTCTCTTTATCAGACAAAAGAGACAAATACAAAGAGAGGCAAAACCTTTTAATTCTGAAAAATACATTTGAATTTACATTGTGTTTTCAAACCGTACACGGTTAATAACAGTTAACAGTTTTTTTATTTCTATTTTGTTTCTACACTTCAGATAAACATCGTCCTAATAAACAGTTATCATTGGCGCTGCACTCATTCACTCGGTCAGGATGTATGTGTCAGTTAATGTCTAATACCTAAATATAAATGTGAGATTAGTGTCTATGACAGCTCACAATTATCTGCTACTGCTGCTACATAATGACCAGTGAGAATGGTTTATTTCAGTGATCATATCAATTAGCAGTTACAAACAGATAATGTGATCACCCAACAAATCTTACAGCCTTGTGCACGTGACATGAATTAGAATAGACTACAATATGTCTTTCTATTCTGCAAGCAGGTGCAGTATACAGTACTTGGTGACAACATATAGTCTAGTTTTATGGCTTTCAGAATTATGACTTTTATTGATTAAACTACAAATCTTACCTCACTGGTGAATCTCGAAGAGGAAACCCATAAAAGGGTCTGATGTCAAAACAAAGCCCTGAAATTAAGGGACATTGAGAGTTCAAGTTTAAAGCCAAAATCAAAACACTCGACACTAACAGATTCTGGAAATCAAACCCTGACTTTCAAGGCAACTTATTTTGCTTAGTGATGCATTTCCCATGTTCCCCAGACGACCGCTGACAATGTGATGTTGTGCTATATCAGACTTTGATAGTGGAATCTTTTTCAACAAAAACTCAACAGTAGGTTTTCAGGGCCTTTGAAGAGCAGCCAATTTGTATCTACTCTGATGTGAGAAAACAAAGCTCAGTCATTCTCTAGTAGCTGTAGAAATATATGTAGAAACTTACTAAAACAGACGAAAGCAGGTTGGCAACCAGTAAGTAAAAAAAAAAAAAACATATGAACATGCCTTCACCAATTTGATTAAAGATTGCCATCACTGCCCTGTCATATCTGGACTCAGGTTAAATGAGTGAATTCTGTGGCAGGATAACAAATATGTATGAGAAAAACTCTCTACTCTACTCTACAATCTATATGGTAATTTAAATCATTATCATAGAGTTACTCTTGGAATACATTGCTGATCGTTGACTTCCATCCATCCATTTTCTGCTGTATATCTGGGGCAGGGTGGCCATGGCAGCAGGCTAATCAAAGTAGTCCAGGCGTTACAGCTAACCCTGACATGGCACTTGCGATGGAGGGATATTTCTTGGCCAGATTACTGCGAATGTGCGTTAGCACGTTGGATGCGTTTCCATTCACATACCCCACAACGGTCGAGCAATGCAGACACACCGTCCCTGTCTTGTACGCAACTCTGTTCTCCGTTGCTGTTGCAGCTGACGGGGAACCAGCAAGAGGGTCATCCAGCTCCATATTCCATCTGGTTGAGAGGCTGGAATCAGTTAGTCGAGCTGCTGCTTTTAGTTGCCATAGACTTTAGATAAACTTTACAGAGGACAGTGTTTTTGCTCGAGGTTGCTGAGGAGAGCACATGCAGCCATGTTGATTTCTTTACCTGTGTCTGAAGAGAACTCACCTGTTTACTATTAACTATGCGAGCACAGGCAAGCAGTGCCAGTTCTACTCCGTAATTACCCAAATTATAGTGAAAATCCATTATTTAATTATAAATTCAAAGTAATTTATAAGATCGATTTATCGCCCAGAGCTACCAGACATTTCTTTCCCCAACAACTCCTTCCAGGTCCTCAAGCCAGATGAGATGTATAATTCCTCCAGCATGTTCTGGGTCTACTTCGGGGTCTAGGAAAACCTCCAAAGGGCTCCCAGGAGACATCCTGATCAGAGGCCTAAACCACCTCAACTGACACTTGGCTGCAAACTGCCGAGCGTGTGCTGGAGGTCACAGTCTGATAAAGCCAACAGAACCACATCATCTGCAAAGAGCACAGAGGCGATTCTGAGGTCCCCAAACCCAGACAATTGAGATCTTGTCGATGAAGACCACAAAGAGAAGCGGTGACAAGAGATAACCCAGGTAAAGCTCAACACTCACTGAAAATGTGCTTGATTCATGCTGAGAAAACAGACACAGCTCTCTCTCCGGTTATATAAGCACCAAATGGCTCGTATCGATACCTCAGAGCCCCGTATTCTTGCAGCAACCCCAACAACACACCCCTCAAGCACCACACAGACCGGATGGATTGACCCAACCAACAATGTAAAAAGTGGATGTCTCCTTTAACCTTCACAATGTTTTCACAAAAGGAAACTCTTTCATCTGAGTGGAACATTTGGATCCTCTGAATAGAAACAGGTGTGGCAGTGAAAACCAGGGGTCAGCACATTCATACATGTGGCTACATGGGCTGGTGATGCCAAAGAGGTCCCTCTGACTTCAAAGGAAAATACTGCACACAACATGGAAACAGGTTTATCATTAACCTGTGAACAGCATAACAACAAGGCTTTCTCACTTGGTGCTTTTCTGCCTACTTTAGTTTTAAGCTACTACAAAGAATTAGGTTTCCAGCCCACAATTCTCTTCCTGTGGGAGTCGGAAAAGTAAAGACAGTCAGGAGGACACCCAGGGAAAAATATCCAACCTGTGAATATAAATAACTCAGATGTTCTGTCCCTCCCTCACAGGTCCGAAACACACTCTGGTAAGAGACAGACAGTGATTTCACTTTGATGAGAGTACCCTGCTAGAAGCCAGACACCGCAGTTCGGCTAGTTTATATATTTGTCACTTCACTGCTGAGTAAAACCTAACAGACAAAAGGGATGAATGTGATAATTGGGAGCATAGCATGAAACAAAAAGTGAAGGGATTCATGTGGTTAAAAGCTCAGATGTAATAATTGATCCAACACAAATAATGTGCCTTTTCTTCATCTTGTCTGGTGTCATTTACCCAAAGGTTGTACTTGAACTTCTCCAACTTCACTTGCAGTCTGGCAGAAGCACTGCTTCAAAAGTAAAACTTTATATTGATATACTGATTTTTTTCCACTTTAGCCAGTGATTTTTGGGAGAAGATGAAGCTAATCTTGTGTGAGCAACATATGTTGAGCAGCAACGAGCCTTTGATGTAGATAAAAGACCTTTCTGACCACAGTCTGGTCTGGCAAACAGATAAGACGTTAGCATAACATTTGTGCTTGTGAATGAGGTCTCTCTGACCCTGATACTAAGCGTGCATGTCAACATTTGATCAAGTCAAGTCAGGTTTATTCATAGATTCCATCGTTAAAGTATGTCTTTAAGGATTACAGACAAGCCGTACCCCATTTACATAGACTAGTCAACAAACACTTTATAGCCCTGATTGAGTCATATATATTTATTTTATCTCAACTAATTCAAGAAAAGTTCTCACAACCACAGTTTCCTGCTGGTGGCCACCGGGATCCGCCCAGTTCAATCCTCTACTGTTGGCTACTCTGCAGCAGCACAAATTCCACAAATGCACCTTGGCATTAGCTGTCCTTCACTTT